TATATATATATATATATATATATATATATATATATATATATATATATATATATATATATAAATTGTATATATATAATCATCTCTTATCATATTATTTTATATTATTGGTTCTTGCCGATTTTTTTCGATCCCCTTTATTTTTTAAATACGGAAAAGGGGGAAGAGAAGAGAAGTGAAACGTAAGAGATACAATCGCAGTTGCAACTGGGGGAAGGGAATATCCGCGTAGGATACCTTAAGCTTGCGCACCCGCCGACGAGTACGAGTGTGCTTCATCCATATTCAGCGATCGCCGAGGAAACGGGTGGAGAACGGATGCTCTGGTGGCTCGAAAGTGCATGGAGGCGAACGTTACCCGCTCGCGATACAGTGCGCACCCCTCAAAGCGCGTATGATCTATATTCCATTCTACTACCCGTTCGAAATGCCGTCTCTCTATCCCACGTTCATCCTCCCTTCTCTCTCTCCTTCTCTTCTCTTTTTTGTTTGTCTCTACTTACCGAATAGATTCTCGTTTCCTCTTAGCGCACGCATCTCCGTGTTGCAGGCGAGATTCTTTTTTTTAGTTATATCACGCGCACAACTACAGATGTCGTTTCTTCATCGCCGCGCATAATGTATAAGCGACACGTAGCCGTAACTCTTGGCGTTGCCAGCGTTGTTTGTCGGATACACGCGATCGATGTTTTCAAAAATGTTCGTCTCGTTGTTATGCGGAAGTGCATCGGAGATTATGCTTCCGAAGCGCGATCTTCTGGCGTAAATCTCGCGTCAGAAGAGAGGAAAGATCGCTTTTGAGAAAATACAATTATAGATATTAGAAAAAGAAAGTTAAAAAAACAAAAAAAAAAGGAAAAAATGCTACACGTGAATATCTGAAATAATATCGTTCTGCACATCACGTCGACAACGTATATTTATGGTTGAATAAAGTCGCGAGGAATACAGATGCGAATTCTAAAAAAAGGTTTAAGTACACTTCCGGGAAGAAAACAATTTTACACCCGAGGTTGTCGTAATAGGAAAGCTTAGAGCACGCGACGAGAATTTATGGACTATTATAGCCCGGATTTGTCTTTAGACGACAGAAATGGACATTCCAAGTATCCTCGAAACGAACGCGATCTATTTTCCATTCGGGGTTTCTTTCGACGCGAAGTTCCTCCTTCGTTCCCGACATCTTTACGGGTGCACACACACACACACACATACACATATAGATCCCACTTTAATTGCCGCTATTAATTCCCTTTATCGCCCCTGAGAATTTATTTCGCGATTATCCTCGAAATTGTAATAACAAGTGGGAAGCTACGTAAGACGATTCCGGGACATAATTACGTTATAGTTGGGGGTTCATAGCCGAAAGTCTGAAATTAAAACGAACATTCGCCGGCAGGCAAATATTTGCGCTCAAAGTATGCATTTCTCGTCTGGCTGTAGTTAAAGCTTTCGCTCGAGTGACCGTGTAATAATCATTCACACAACGTTGCAGCATGCTTCGAGTGCACTTTGTTGTCATCCACGAACACTTATATCATCGTTGAGTCAGAATAACGTCCTAATTTTTTTAACTTTTCATCTTTCAACGAATGACTGCGTAATTTGATTCCAAATACATTTTATGTATTTGGAATATTTGAACTGAAATAATTCGTCAAACAATGTTATCATATTTTTATGTTTTTCATCATGTGATATCATAAATGTTTTCTTGTAATGACGGGAGATATCCTGTAAAAATGCGCCGAAGATAGGATGATGCACGGGTAAAAGAAAATCTGCGATACACGTGGGAGCAGAGAGAGGAGGAGGAAGGAAAGAAGGAGAAACCGAAGAGGAACTCCATCGGATGTGGAACTTATATGATATAGATCACGTCTGCTTTGAGGATACTCACGATATCTCAGACGACTTTGTTCGTCCTCGTGCGACTTAGAGGTATCTCTCCGCCTTTTCGCGTTTGTCGTTCGATCATTGAATATGGATGAAGTCTCGAATGAGGTACACTCGCCGGCGGCGAAGCAAATAAGTTCTAGGCGCGAATAATGCGCTGAATCATATCGATATGTTCGCGTTGCTTTGCGCAAGTCTCGTTAATCTGTAAACAGATAGACGCGTCAAAGGGAGTAGAGATGTCAAAGTACTTGAAGATAATCTTTACAATCGGTCTCGCTTCTCTCTTTATAATCTTGCTGTCTAACTCTATTCTCTCTCACTTCCCACTCATGCCATCCCTAAAAATGGCGGACAGGATGTAGACTAATTATGATACTTTGTCCTGACAGAAGAAACTTTAGTATTACGTGTATTTGTGCATCGTGTTGCTTTCTTTCTTGAACGCGTATTAGAGACGGACGAATTGACTGGATTGAACGTGACCAGGCAAAAAGTTTGGCTCCAAGACATACAATCGCTTTACCGGCAGAAGCGCTGAAATGGCGATCCCCGCTGCATCGCCCCAGGGAGGTTTCCGAATCTCTCCGAAACTCCAAATCGGAGTGGCGGTGCCACGAAAGCGATTGGACAGCGGAATTCTCTAGTGGGCTTTGCGCGACGTAACCGCGGATTAACCTCGTAATGCATCGTGTCTTAACTTTACATGCTAACTCGCAACAACGCGTGTAAACTCGCTCTCCAGCTGTCCGGTCCGCGCGTGACGGATAAAGTCCATTGCACACGAATTTACATAACACCGTAAGCACGGCGCGCACGGACCAATGACGCTCGGAGTCGGCTTCGCGGGAACAGTTTGGCGGCTTACTCTCCGCGACGTATCGATGCTTCAGCGTGTGTAAATTCGCCCGGTTCAGTTCAGTTTCCGCGAGTGACGGATAAAGTTTCCACGCGCGCGACATTTACATAACACAACATAACCGCGCGGCCGATCCGATCGATGAGATATGCTCGTCGTAAAACTTGGCTGGTGAGAATAAAACGTCGGTTTTACGCCAGCTCTGCTGGCTTCAGCCACTTTGGGAATCGACATGCTTACGTCTTAGGCTCGCGTCCTCCCATCCGACACGTGTGCGATGCAAATACACTGAAAGAAGGATTTCGTTATCGAAACAAAAATCTGGCATACTATAATTTAGTTAAAATGAGTGATCGACTGAATGGTTAGTAACTGCGATCAAAACATTTAATCGCTGTTGCTTTGTTTTTTCAATAATACATATGTACTTGGCATAAGTAAAAAAAGAAGTAATGCCAACCAAGTATGCATCAAATATTTTAGCTCCAAGTACAAAAATAATTTTTTTAGTGCAATATACCGTGCTACGCACTGGTCTCGCGTTGCGCGAATATTACGATATTGCTA